GCGGCGGTCTCCTTGAAGCGATACCGGAGGCGGACATTCTCGCTCTTGCTGATCCGGACGACGCAGACGGCGACGGCATATCCGGGCGCGTCAACATGGTGTGGAGTGCCCGAGCCGAGGAAACCCGGTCCGGGCGTTTCGGATGGAAAGCCAACGTGCCCACCCTGGAGCAGCAGATAGCTGGCGCCTTCCATGGTGACATCGGCATCACTTCGCCGTTGTTCGAGAGTGAAAACTGTCCTCCGGCGCAGACCGATTGCCAGGACGCTCTCAACGGAGGCACGCCGGAAATCCCCGGCGAACGATTGGCCAAGGTTGTGTTCTACAACCGGACCCTAGCCGTGCCCGCCATGCGCGACGTGGATGACCCGCAGGTCCGGGAAGGTGCGCGGTTGTTCCTCAAAGCAGGGTGTGCCGCGTGCCACACACCCAGCCACACCACTGGCGAGCATCCTGTACCTGCACTCACCGGGCAGACGATATTTCCCTATACCGACCTGCTGATTCACGACATGGGTGAAGGATTGGCCGACGGCAGGCCGGACTTCCTCGCCAACGGTCGGGAATGGCGCACGCCGCCGCTGTGGGGTATCGGGTTAATCGAAAACGTGAACAATCACACGCGGTTGCTGCACGACGGGCGCGCTCGCGATATCGCCGAGGCCATACTATGGCACGACGGCGAGGGGTTGGCGGCACGCGAAGAATTCCGGAAAATGTCCCGCGAAGAAAGGGAGGCAGTCATCCGCTTCCTGGAGTCCCTCTGATGCCGTCGGTCCGCTGTATCCTGCTGCTGTCCATCTTCCTCGTGCTGATGGGAGCGGTCGCCTGCGCCCAGGCCGCGCCCCCGTCCCGCCAGCAGGTCCTCAACAGTCTGTCCGATGACCTGATCGTTCCTCGATACCAGGAGGTGGCCCAGGAGATGGACGATCTGAGCGTTGCCCTGGTCGGCCTGTGCGCCAATCCCGGTTCCGAAACGCTGGATGCAGCCCGCACCGCATGGCGAGAGGCTCGCGCTCCCTGGATGCGGTCCCAGGCAACGTGGTTCGGCCCCGTGATGGATCGCCGCTCCCGGTCTTTGGTGGACTGGTCTCCGGTGGACCCCGAGCGTATCGAAACCACTCTTGCGGGCAGGGAGTCTATTTCGGCCGGAGACGTCAGAGAATTCTTCGGGTCAACGCAACGCGGGCTGGGATCAATTGAGTACATCATCTTTGGGGAAGATGCGACGGTGTTGGCGTCCCTCGACGACCCCGGGGGAATACGCTGTCAATACCTGACCGCCCTAGGCGAGGTAGCGGCGGACGAGATGGCCGGCGTTCTGGCCGACTGGACAGGGGATGGCTCTCCCGATGGCGGCTACGCCGGCTACTTCAAAGGAACCGCCAGTATTTCCCTCGTGGAACAGCAGGCCGTGGACGAAGCGGTGCGGACGTCGGTGTTCATAACCCGTAGCATCGCCGACATGAAGCTGGGTAAGGCTCTGGGCGCTGACGGCGGCGAGCCCGACCCATCGGCGATCCTCGGCGCCGGCGGTCACAACGCCGTCGCCGACCTGCGTAACCAGGTGTTGGGGATGCAGGATGTGTACTTGGGTGCCGGCGCCGAAGGCGCGCTGGGTATCAGCGCCCTGGTGAGCGGTGTGTCCGAGGAAGCAGACCGGAGAGTGCGCGGCCATTTTGACGGAGCGTTGTCGGCGGTCGGCGGATTGCAGGAACCTCTGCAATCTACGGTCGCGGCGGATCCGGCTCCCGCTCACCTCGCGCACCAGAGGATTCAGGAGTTGCAGCGAGCCCTGAACACCGAGGTGGTCAGCCTGCTGGGAGTGACCGTCGGCTTCGCCGATACAGACGGTGACGGCGGCTAGCGCGCGGATACTGGAGGCTGGCGCACGGCGGCCTGTTCCTCGAGTTCCTAGGGCAGTACCCACGGTTTGGGAGCCAAGCCGGGCCGGACCGAGGCCAAGTCCGCCTCCGGGTCGATAAGGCGCGCGTTGGACCGACCGTTGAATGCGACGAATGCATCGGCGTTCACGGCAACGCTTGGATAGCCACGCTCGGTGAAATCGTCGGCGATGAAGTGGGCGGCCTGCAGGATCATGTCCGGCTGGATCGCCATGCGCTCCGTCTGCAGAGGCGTGAAGTACTGATCCGATGGCACCAACCAGGTTTGGCCAGACGCTGGGTCATTTACCTTGTACTGCACGAAACCCACCTTTTCTGTGAGCATTACCCGCCATGCGAAACGGTAGCCCTCCTCGTTCCAGCGCACGTTACCCGGGTACGCGAAATGCCGTAGCGGGAAGGTCAACTGGATAACGGCGAGCAACAGCAGTACAACTGCCACCGTGCGGGTCAGCCAGGGTTTGACCTCGGCGGGGTTCGGTGCAGTGGAGCGACGCCACGGAAGGAACCGCAACAGACGGCACGGCCAATCCGGATCGAAAAATATCAGGGACAACCCGATCATCAGCCACGGGAAAACGCCCAGTTGAGGGAACAGAACCCACGTCGCCAGGTGGAAAGCCACCAGGAAGGCGTATGCGAACGGCCGGGCACGGCGCCACAACAGCGCAGGAACGACGGCCAGGTCAAACAGCGCGCCGCCCCAGCTCATGGCGTAGGCGATCCAGGTTTCCTGCAGCAGCGCGCCGGTCAGTGGCAAATCGCCATGCTGGTAGAGCCAGATCCGCATGGGCAGCGCGTGGAACAGCCAGTCGGGATTCAGCTTGGCAATGCCGGCAAAGACATAGACAAGGCCGATCTGTGTTCGCAGGACCCAGATTACCCACAACGGTACCGCAATGCGCTGCGCAGGCAGGATTGCCAGCAACAGGCTGATCAGGCCCATCAGGTAGTAGTGGTTGAGGTACGTGGTGCGGTCCAGCAGTTCAACGTAAGTGAAGCCGATACAGAACAGCGCCGCACAGAGGCGAGGGCGACAACCGACCGCGATGCCCAGACTGAGCAAGCCCAGGACCGCAAAGTGTGTGTACATACCCCAGCCGGGCCACGGCTGCACCCAGCCGAATCCCAGGTATGTGAAGTGATGGGTCGGCTCGATATACAGAGGGGCGATCCAGCCATGGGCGAAGAATCGGGCAACTACGGCCAGCCCCAGCAGGCCGAAGATAACGCGAAAGGCCACGACCGATGCCCCGTCAACGGGCCGGTTTGCCAATAGCTTGCCGGTAGGCAACGAACCCGGGAATTTAGCCCGCACAGTCAATCGGCGTCGGTCGGGTCATCCCTGGCGGCGCTCCTCGCGCGCGGTGATGATGGTCAGCGGTATTGAGGAAACCGCCACCAGCAGGAGGGCGGGGGCCGCGGCGCGGGCGAAGAAGGCCTCTTCCGCAGCGGCCCATATCGAAGACGCCAACGTGGTGAACCCGATGGGGCTCAATATCAGGGTAGCCGGCAGCTCCTTCATGGTGAGCAGGAACACCAGGGCCGCTCCGGTCAGGATGCCGGGACGCACCAATGGCAAGGTTACGGTGAGCAGCACGGTCAGGGGGCGCTTGCCCAGGCTGCGGGCGGCGTCCTCGAACTCGGGTCTCACCTGCACCAACGATGCTCGGAGGGACCCCACGGCCGCCGGCAGGAACAGCGTCACATACGCCACGGCCAGCATCGCCAGGGATTGGTAGAGCCACGGCGCGTAGTTAGCGCCGAAGTAGACCAGACCCAGGGCGATGACAATGCCGGGGAGAGCGAATCCCACGAAGCCCAGCCGCTCCAGCCATCGGCTGAACAGGCCGGGGTAGCGCACCGCCAGTACTGCGATGGGCGCGGCGCAAAGTACGGTGAGGATCGCGGCCAGGGCCGAGACGCTCACGGAGTTGGCCGCCGCCCGCCAGAGCAGTTCCAGGGGCTCGCCGGCCGCGACTCCGCGAACGGTCCAGTAGACGAGCACGGCAAGAGGCAGGCCCAACGAAAGCAGGACGACGGTTCCACAATAGACCAGGGCGGGCCAGCGCCAGCGTCCCAGCGGAACGGGCTCCGGCAGACGCGTCGCGCCGCCTCCGCTGCGGTAGTACCTTCCGCCGCCGGCGTTGCGGGCGGCATTCTCTCCCCAGACCACCGCCAGGGCCAGCGCGATCAGCGCCAGTGACCAGGCGGCGGCCAGGGTCCGGTTCAGCGCGGCACCGTACTGGATGAAGATGCTCCAGGTGAAGGTCTCGTAACGCATGATGGCCACGGCGCCGAAGTCGCTGAGAGCGTACAGGGCGGTGAGCAGACCACCGGCCAAGATGGCCGGCCGCAGCATCGGCAGCGTGACGCTGCGGAAGGTCTGCCGGCGATCCCGGCCCAGGGCGCGGGCGGACTCCTCCAGCGAAACGTCCAGGTTCCACAGGGCGGCGCGCACCGGGAGCAGCACGTAGGGGAAGCTGATGATGATGAGGGTGAAGGCGGCGCCGGGAAAACCGTAGATGCTGGGGATGCGGTCCACGCCGAACCCCAATTCCAGCCAGCCCTGCAGGATGCCGCGGGGCCCCAGTCCAACCGCGATGGCAAACCCGACAATGTAGGACGGTAGCGCCAGGGGCAGCATGGTGGCGACGCGCCAGAAACCCCGACCCGGAAGGTCGGTACGCACGGTGAGCCAGGCCAGCGGGATGGCTATGGCGATACAGCCCACCATGACGGCAGCCATAAGAGCCACGGTACGGGCAACCACCCACAGGGTGCGCGCGCGGAAGATCAGGTCAACGGCATCAGTACCGGCCCCCAACGTGCGGAGCGCCAGGTACACCGGCGCGGTGAGCAGGAGTGCCGCGACGATGGCGGCCGGTACCCACACAACCGTGGGCGGGCGGGCCAAGCCCTCAAACAGCCACTCCGACGGAGAGCGCGGTATGGACCCGACCAGCTTGGCTAACGGCGACATTTGCGGGTGCCCGGGCTGCGCTGCAAATGCCTACGTGCGTGAGGGGTACGAAGCGGCCTGAACGCACCGTCCGGATTGCCCTCGCTGCTCTGGGCAGGATCGATTTCTTGACGTCACTCAGCCTCGATCGGACGTACCACAATCTGTCTCGCCACGTCGCAACCGATGGAGAAGCGCTCCACCTCTGTCTCCAACTGCATTACCCCTAGGTAGGGCATCGCCTCCAGCAGCGTCATCCGGCGTCCTGGCATCAACCGTACGTTGTCCAAAAACCTCAGCAGTTCGCTATTCTCTTCGGGCACCCGGTCGACCACGTGCGGTACGCCGAGGGCGGCGTTGTCCAATGTGATTGCTCCCGGCGTCGCCTCCGGCGCTCCGCTCCCGGGGATCGGCCACCCGAAGGGTGAATGCGTCGGGTTCTCCAGTTGGTCCACCAGCTTGGCCACCAGGGCGGACGACATCCCGTGCTCCAACTGGTGAGCCTCAATGTGGGCCTCGTGCAGCTCCATCCCCAACAGTCGCACCACCAGCCACTCCGCCAGACGATGACGGCGGACGATGCTCTCTCCCTCTCGCTTGCCCCGGTCCGTCATCCGGATCCGCTTGTCGCCGCCGACGTCGACCAGGCCCTGCTTCTCCATCCGGCGCAACATCCCGGCCACCGATGGCACCGAGGTTCCCAACCCTTCGGTGGGAGGCAATTGCCGCAGCGCTTCAGTCAGTTGGGTCAGGGTGGGTGATTCCGCGCTCTCCCACATCTTGTAGAGCGACAGCAGGTAGTTCTCCGTTACGGGCGACAAACGGTCGGAAATGTTGGGCGCTGACGTGCGCGCATCGGACGCAGCGGTGGATTTACGAGGACGTGGCACGAAATATCCAAGTAGCAGTGCAAGGTTATTTCCAGATTATACCCCAACGGGTTCATCGTCACGCCACCACGCGGCCATTCCTTCGGCGGGGGAGCGACCGCCGCTCCGCAGGCCCGGTGCGCCGGTCCGGGAGTCACCGTTAGGAACTGTCCGGTTCCGTGGCGTAGGCCGGCTCATCTACCAGAGCTTGCCCATCGATGAAGGGCAACGGCTGGTGACCTTCGCGCAGGAACGTTCGCACCCGCGTTCCCGGGTCGAAACGCGCCAGGTGCGACTGCATCACCTGTACCCGACGCCCCGAGTCCAATCCCACTGAATAGAGGTTGAATGCGCCCAGAAATTCCCGCTGGACGACCACCCCGTTGCCCTCCTCCTCGGGTTCCATATCAAGACAGTCCGGACGCACCATGACCTGCAACTCATCATCCGTCCGTGATGGTGTGGCCCAAGCTTCGGACCAGGGAATCCGTCCCACCTCGCTGGTCAGATAAGCGCCGTCCCGCCAGGCCGGCAGAAAGTCAGCCGTGCCGAAGAACTCCGCGGCGAACCGCGTGTCGGGGTAGTTGAACACCTGCTCCGGCGACCCCAGCTGCTCGATGCGCCCCTCGTTCATCACCGCCATCCGATCCGCCAGTTGCATCGCCTCTTCCTGGTCGTGGGTGACACAGATCACGGTGGCTCCCCGCTCTTTCAATATGGCCCGGACTTCCGCCCGCAACTGCCCCCGCAGGCCGGCGTCAAGGCTGGAGAAGGGTTCGTCCATCAGTATCAGGTCCGGCGCCGGCGCCAACGCCCGGGCCAGGGCCACGCGCTGCTGCTGTCCGCCGGAGAGCTGGTGTGGATAACGGGCCGCATACCCCTCGAGGTTCACCAGTTGCAGAGCCTCAGCCATCAGTCGTCCGCGTTGCCTTCCCTTTTCCAGCCCGAACGCCACATTCTGCGCCACCGTGAGATGCGGGAACAGCGCTCCCTCCTGGAATACCATGCCTACCCCGTCGCTTCTCCGGAGCCTCGTTCACCCCCGGGCCGCACACCAGCCGGTCTCCAATATGGACGGTTCCCGCGTCGGGCTGGTCGAACCCCGCGATGAGGCGGAGCGTGGTCGTCTTACCGCATCCACTGGGCCCCAGCAGGCAGAGGATCTCGCCGCCTGTCAGATCGAGATCCACATCCGCGACCGCAGTGATGTCGCGAAACGATTTGCACAACCCCGACAACCGGAGAGCATAGCGTTCCGACGCAGAAGGGTTACCGACCGATTTTGCGAGATTGTTAGATGGTACGAATTGCATTTGATGTATGCATTGTCAGAAGCGTTGAATGCTATCAGAAAACGCTGGTCAGTCTATCTGTGGGCCTGCCATCTGTCAACGCTGTGCATTGCCCACGACCGTCCATCTTGGCGCGGCAAACACCGCCTCGCGCCGTTCTTTCACGAGTATCGGAATGCGGCGGGAGTTACGCATCGGTCCGCCAGTGTCGGGGGTGATGGGCAGCCCAGCCGTCGCAGGAACACGCCGACTGCTTGTGGATGTGGTGGACGAGGGGACGGTGAATCGTCAGATGCGAATGCCGATTGAGTCCGCCGACCCACGGCCTGATGTCACGGGGATACTCCCGGAGGGCATTAACCCAACCAGGCGGTCACGTCTGTCGGCCGGCGTGCGCACCGACGCGGAGGGGCGCGACGGCTGTCCGATGAACAGCGCGCCCACCATCGTCCACTCGGCTTCGGCGCCCAGCGTCTCCGCCAGCTGTGGATGACGGGTGACGTTGCCGGTGCTCCAATCTCCGGCCAGCCCCTCGGCCACGGCCGCCAGCAACAGGTTCTGCACGGCGCAGCAGGCGGCAGCGTAGTTCTCCTGGGTCATCTCCTCGTTGTCGCCGGGGGTGCTGTAGACATAGATCAGCGCCGGCGCGCCCAGCACCCGCTGGCGGCTGCCCGCGGCGTTTTCTTGGTCGCCGCTGCGGGCGAACTGGTTGTCATAGGCCAGCTGCGCCACCTGGGCGCGTTTGTACCCGTTCTTCTCCAGCACGAAGAACCGCCACGGGTTGGTGAGCCGGTGGTTGGGCGCCCACACGGCCGCGTCCAGCATCCGCTGCACGGCGTCCCGGTCGGGGACAACCTCGGAGAAATCGTTATTCATCCGGCGGTTGTGGATCGCTTCGTAAACGGTAACGCCCGTGTCCGGCGCGGTCACGCTGCCACTGCGTAGTCGACTGTTGGTTGTCATCACTAGCACTCCAGATGCGGGTATGCTGATGGATGAAATGAGTGTCCACACTATACCGAAATGCGTGGCCTGAAACAAGCGGGGTTTCCCATGACACGCACCTGCATGGAGTCTGGGGCCGACTTCGGCTCAATGCCGCCTGGGGTCAGGTCGCCCGGTGACTAGCCGGAGCCCAGGCTCAGGTTCATGATCAGGTTGTAGATGAACCAACCGTCCCCGTTGCGGAAGACCAGGAGACGTTCCGGTCGATCCCCCGCCACGGCTCCAATCCCGTCGAGGTAGGGTTTCAAATGGGTCACCGAGTGGTGGGATAACCGGATTGCGAAGTTCACCCCCCTGAAATGTAGACCATGGTTGGTCACCGCCAGTGACCCCTCGGCCTTGGGTTCGCAACCTTCCTGCGGTGATGCTAGGCCCGCAAACCATCGGGGAGGATAATACGGATGCGACCAGTCGGTCTCCTGGACGTCGGCAGAACTGGCCGGCTGTTCCGGCAGTTGACGGCTCAAGCAACAATCCACGTCGGCAAAGAGCCACACTGGCCTTGCCGACCTGGCCATTCGAAGCGATGTCAGCACATCGTCGGGAAAGGTCATGCGATGGGGCATCAGGCCGGCGGCCGCCTCCGTGATGGCCGCTCCCTGTATCAGTTGGTACATCATCCCGTTGCGGTCCAACTCCCGGTCTTCCAGGCCAAAATGGCGGGCATATCGCAACAGGGCGGCCTCATGATCCATGTCGATGCCATTATCTTCCAGCAGGAGCGCCACCGCTCTTTCCCAGACCTCCAGCAACAGCTCACGGCTGGCCTGCCTCGGAGAGACTGGAGCGTTCCATAAGGGCAGATAAGCGCTCCAAACGGCGCGTCTGGTTGCGGGTGGCCAACGCGGCGCTCACCGTCGCCGCAATCAGAGTCGATGTATGGTCCTCACCGAGTGCCTCGGGCGCCGTGAAGTGGGTGTCCCGAAACTCACGCCATTGCGTAGCTTCGACACGGGTGGGGATATGGTCCACCATGCGGTTCATGGAGGACAGGTGCCAGCCGGCAGCTACCACGGCGGGCAGATCCTGGTCGGGCACGTAGCGTTCTTGGGCCGGTTCCGCCAATGCCTGTAGCATCCTGTGCCGGCTGAAATCGGGCCTCTCGACAACCTGAGCCACCAGTTCAACCATCTGGGCCAAACCTCGACGGTAGGTTTCGGCACACTGGCGATGGCTGTTGCGGAACCAGCCCGCGTTGCGGCCGCAATATCGGCAATTGCCCATCACCATCCCCCGGACAAGACTGAGGCAATTATATGACATAACGCACAATCGCGCCTTTGGGCCCGGAGCTTCGCTGCTCGGCGTGGCCGCCATTTGCAAACACGGCGCGCTGCAGAACGTGCAGGATATGTTGCCGGCAATGCCAGCGCGGCGGAAAGGCGCGCCGGTGCGTAACGGGTTCATCGCCACGGAGCACAGGCTATGTCGGACCGGGTTGCGGTATCAAGACGATGGTAGAGTGGCCGCCCCTCGAGGTGGAAGGTGTCGGCCACGTCCGTCAAGCAGTTAGTGTGGTCGCGCCCTTCGGCTATGGCAATCCTCGATACCGACAACGGCATCCGCGACGTAGCGGGGACAAATCAAGGCAGCGAAATCCGCCATCGAGTCGGTGGTGAGAACTCGGGCTCGGGCTGATTTACGTAACGGCTATTATACGAATCGAAAAGGATACTGTGGACGCGAGGGGAGGGGTGATACGTTGCTGAATCTCACGCCCGAAGAGGCCAGCCGCATCTGCATGGATCAGTGCCGGGCGATGTGCTGTCGTGGGCCGTTGATCCTGCGGCTGGAACCTGACGAGGTTGCCGTGTTTCACCGTGAAGCGGTGCACCTGGGTACAACCGTCGATATCTCGCCCGCTGCCGACGGCGGCGGCAATCTGCTGTTCCAAGACCATCCGGGCGAGTGCTGCCCGATGCTGGATCAGGCCACCTTGGCGTGCCGCATTTACGAACAGAGGCCGCGGGTTTGCCGGGAGTTTCCTCGCCGGCCGGAGCCGGGTTGCGCCATTTCCGGTTGGACGGACGACTAAACTGGTACCAAGGTGGGATCTACATTTGTAGGGCGACGAGGGTCGGCATGGGCCTTGCCCAGCAGTCCTTCGGCGCGGGTTTGGAGCACGGTCCGGCAGCGCTGTTTGACCTCTGCTTGCCGGGATAGACGCAGTCTGGACACTGAATGGGATTAGTCATAATGTGGTTCCCCCGCACGCGCGGGGATAGACCCTACTGGCTGCTGGATCCGGTGAGCGTCGGCGGCCGTGGCATGGAGGTGGCGGCCACCACCCACAGCCTCCACCCCGGCCCGGAGCAGACCGCGCAATACTGCCGCAAAGGGGAGTTCAAGAAATAACCGCACGGAGGATTGATGAAAGACAAAACGACCGCAGCGCTGCTGGCCTTTTTCCTGGGCGGCTTCGGCGTGCACAAATTCTATCTGGGCGAAAAGGGCGGGGTGCTGCGCATCATCCTGACCTGCACCTTGATAGGCGCGCCCATATCCGGGGTGATGGCCCTGATCGATTTCATAAAGCTGCTGACCATGTCACAGGCGGACTTTGACGCACAGTACAACTGATGAAGGGCACTATATCGCAGCGGCGCCCCAACGTTTGGGAGCTGGTCGTCAACCTCGGGCGCGAGGTCCGGCCAGCCCTTCGGTCTATCCCCGCGCGTGCGGGAGAACCAGGAGGAACACCATGGCCAATTCGCACGTGCAAGGTCTATCCCTGCGTACTCAGGTTCACGTAATGACCCTTGGGCGAACCACGGCGGGTATCAATAAGGCGGAGGACGCCGGAAGGAAGGATGCCCAAATCGGGTTCGTCGATGCGTTGCGACGGCCCTCCCGACCGAACCGTAGATCCTCCATGCACGTTGCAGCCGGCGGGGTCCCCTTTACTTTTGGGTGGTAGGATAGGGGCGTCAAGCAGGCGATCGCTCAAAACAGAACGGAACCCGCCAACCTGCAAGACCTCTCGTTGGGGGACATGGCCCGGCATGAACGTTATCCGTCCAACGCCGCGATGCGCCGGACCATCCACGTGATGAACGTCGTGCGGGTCATACCGCGCCGACGGGCCTCGCCGTCGATGTACTCTGCGACATCCTCTTCCAAGGTCAGTCCGGCCCGGACGCTCTTACCGGAAGGCCTGATCCATCGGTATGGACACCACTGTTTCCGATTTCTGTGTGGGGGATGGCAAAACCGAGGGGCTGGGCCATTTGCCAACTCGGAGCCGTCTTTTTCCGTCTCGATGGCATAGTCCTGCAGCACTGCCTCGGCGTTCAGCAGGCTTCGTCACACTATCGCCCATGGCTGCCGCCGATGTCGGGGAAAGACCACTCCATAGGCTCCCTCGTCACCGTCCAGCAACGCTGGATGTCGATATCAACGGTATCCTCCTTTCCTGTCGCTAGCCGCCTGTTGGCCAATCGTGCTTGGCAAACGCGGACCACGAAAGCTCTGGTGGCGGGGCAAGGAGTAATGATTCCCCGGATTCTGCGTGAATGCTTGTAAATCATCGTGTGTTGAACCGTGTCGGTCCAGGTACTCAGCCATCCTGTTCCAATCGTACGCTGCACACGCCGCCGCGTTGGTGTCCATAAGCGTGTAAATTTAGCACCTCATACTGTGCTGGTCATCCAAGCCGTGGTCGCATCGAAGGCGTTGGAAAGGCGTATAAACACTGATTGTGCGGGGTCGCGCAAATTACTTGTAAAGGGCGGAGATAAAAGTGGTGCCACGTGGACGGCTTGACATGCCGGTTTGACGGCGATGCGGAGGCAATGTGCCGGCAAAAATAGTCGGTCGCTACCGGCAGGACTAATTGTCGTTTATCAGGCCAGCCGTGTGGGTTCTCCGGCGTGTCCGTGGGAGTGTCGTCCCGGAGCCTATTGCGGGTGTGTAGCGTGTAAGCGTGGCAGCGGGTGAATCCCTGCGTGTGCAGGGGATGGTTGATAAGCGCCATTGCTTTCGTGGTCCGTTTTCGGGGTATCCCTGCAGGAACGGGGGCACTTTTGGCCGTCTGCGCGGCCCGAGGCGTGGGGGTTTGCGCCGGTGCGCTAGAGTACCTGGGACAGGAACTGCTTGACGCGCCGGTGGCGTGGGTTGTTGAAGAACGCGCTGGGCGGCTGATCCTCGACGATCTGGCCTTCGTCGAACATGATGACCCGGTCGGCCACCTGGTGGGCGAAGCGTAGCTCGTGGGTGACCGCGAGGATGGTCATGCTGCTGGCCGCGAGGTCTCGTATGACGTTCAGGACCTCCTGGACCATTTCGGTGTCCAGCGCAGACGTGGGCTCATCGAACAGCATGATGTTGGGGTGCATTGCGAGTGCCCGGGCGATGGCCACGCGTTGCTGCTCGCCGGCGGAAAGCTGGTTCGGGTACTTGTGTGCCTGGTCGGGGATTCCTACTCTATCGAGGAGGTGCATCGCTTCGTCGATGGCGTCTTGCTTGCTCAGCTTGCGGACCTTGGTGGGAGCCAGGGTTATGTTGCTGAGCGCGCTCATGTGGGGGAACAGGTTGAATGACTGGGCGACCATTCCGACGTGGCGGCGGACGGCGTCGATGTTGCGCACGTCGTCGGTGAGGGGTATTCCGTCCACGATGATCTGGCCCCGTTCGTGCCGCTCGAGCCGGTTGATGGTGCGGATGAACGTGGACTTTCCCGATCCGGATGGGCCGATGATGATGACGACCTCTCCGCGTTTCACGTAGGTGGTGACTCCTCTGACGGCGTGAAAACCGTCGTACCATTTGTGGACGTCGCGGCAGATGATGATATCGTCGGGCGGTGCTGCGTTGACGTCAGTCGGCGTCATCGTCGTCTCCGGGGTCTGCGTTGACGCTGGACCTGCTCCTGTCAGGATTTATCGATATGGTGAATTGGGTGTGCTCGCCCGGTTGGGATTCGGCGGTGATCGTACCGCCGTGTTGTCTGACTATTTCGTTGGAGATGCTGAGGCCCAGGCCGGTGCCCTGGTCGGCGGCCTTGGTCGTGAAGAACGGGTTGAATATCTTGTCGATGACGTCGGTTGGTATTCCACTGCCGTTGTCCCTGACCATGATGGTCACCGTATCGCCGGTGTGGGATGTTCTGAGCCACATGGTGGGTTCGTATTCGGAGTCTTCGTGGCTGCGTTGCGCGGTGGCGTAGCATGCGTTGCCCACCAGATTGAGGATAACCCGTCCGATGTCTTCCGAGACCACGTAGAGGGATGGGTCTTGCTCGTCGAGCTCTCTGATGATGTTCATGGTGAACTGGGGGTCACGGTTGCGGGCCGAGTGGTAAGCCAGCATGGCGTAGTCTTCCACCAGTTGGTTGATGTTGATGTTTTGGTAGTCGCCGCTGGTGGTCCGGCCCATGGCCAGCATGTCCTGGACGATGCGGTTGGTGCGTTCGCAGTGGTTCTGGATGCGGTCCATGTTCTCGGATAGCTCGGTGATGAGCTCGTTGATGAGGTCGGCCTCGTCCGGGTCGGGCGCTCCGTCCAGTGCTGAGATGGTCTCCTTGAGTTCGGCCATCATGTCGGTGGAGGAAGTGGAGAAGTTCTGCACGAGGTTGAGGGGGTTTCGGATCTCGTGGGCGACGCCCGCGGTGAGTTCGCCGAGTTCGGCGAGCTTCTGGCGGCTCACCAGCTGGTCCTGGGTGTTTCTGAGTTCGACGAGGAGTTCCTCGAGCTCTTCGTTCTTGAACCTGAGGTCGTCGGAAAGTTCCTGCACGAGGTCCAGTTGCTGGGCGCGGACCGACTGGCGGCGCAGGACCTCCAGGTCGTACGCGATCTCGGTGATTTCGTCCTTGCCTGCGGGCCGGACGGAATAGCTCAGGTCGCCAGCTCCCAGGCGCCTGATCCAGAACTCTAGCGCGACGATTCGAGGTCCGATGCGCACGATGATGAACATCGTGGTCAGCAGTGCGGCCATGCTTGCAGTGCCCAGGGTGAGGTCTGGACGCGTGCCCGGTTGACGGTTCGCTGTGCTGGGTTGGGGTCGCGTGCGGATTCGCTTGCCAAGGCTTCGCTGGCCCGGGTCAGCGATATGGTGGCGGTGGCGGTTAACGCGATGAGGAAGACGAGGGTGGCGAAGAGGCTGATGGCAATCAGGGTTGATTTTCGGCGCAGGCTGAAACGGTGCAGGGATACGTCCTGCTGGGGGAGTTCGCTCCTGCCATAATACTGCACCGGCGCGGTGTCGGGTTCGTTGCTCTGTGCTGTGGACGTCTCGTCCGCCTCGGGCTGGGGTGTGGTCGTCATGGTGTGCCTTTCCCTGGTCTCGCGTGCGCCGGTCGATTGGTTGGCGGACGTCGCGTGGCGGTGGACTGTGCAGGACACCGGTTTCTTCGTTGGAACTGCCGTGCAGATAGTGTCGGGTGGATACCTGGGGTGGAAGGTACTGTTTGGGGTGATTTTAGCGATTTGTGTGTGATGTCTCTACGGTTGGGCTGGCGTGACTGCATGGCCTGGGAGCGTGGGTGGCCGGGTGGTCTGTTGTGGTATCCCTTCAAGAGCGGGTTCACGTAATGACCTTTATGCGAATCACAGCGGTATCAATAAGATGGAGGGCCGGCATGACGAACGCGCAAATCGGGTTTGCCGATGCGCTACGGGGTAGCCGTTGCTGGTGCTGGTCAGCTATCTCCCATTTCGTGGCTGGATCCGCCAAGATACCTGGTGCGACCGAATTTCGGTAACGTTTCTGGGTGAACCAGCCACTTGTGTTGGGTAACGGCTTTATTGAGGTAAAACGGCGGCAAAATCAATTCTCGTCCTGTCACAATGCTGGACCGATGAACTCCTAACGGTTGGCAGGATCCATCCCCGGGCGTGCGGGGGAACCGGCACGGTGCACCTGCCGGGTGGTGAGGCGCGGGGTCTATCCCAACAATTCACGGCTCACCCGGTCCAGTTGGCACACGTAGCCCCAACTGAAGCTGCGCAGGAAGGTGCCGATGGTGGATGGCGCCTTGGCCGTGAAACCGAGCACCCGGGCGGTCCCCTCGGTGCGCAACACATCGGCGTCGTCAATGCAGTCGCCCCCAACCAGCGCGGAGGCCACCAGGATCACAATCTTGTCGCCGGTGTTCGCCAGGCCCGGGGCATCGCCCAGGTCGAGGCGCTGCTGGACGAGTTGGGGCAGGTCCAGATTCCGGCCCAACGTGGCTGGCAGGATCAGCCCGGCATTAGCCACCAGGCGGTGGTCGTCGAAGGAGATTTGGATGCGGTCGGGATGGTTGCGTGGTAGCATTTATTGGGTGCTCCCTGTTTCTGGTTGGTTTCCTGTCTCGAAAACCATTATCCCAGAAGCACAGGAGCACTTTGTTATCCCTTCAACTCGCCGCTACTCTTATCTTTTCGGTGGATTGGGGCTAAGACCAATCCACTCCGGCGCAAATAGCTGCCCGTATCAACGGGGGTTACGGCCCAGCGCGTCTGAAACGCCCAAAAAACCAAAGGCGACCACTACGCCATCAAAGGAGTATGCCCTCATGGAACAGGACAATATCTACGACCCACACAAGTCGAGGGAGCTGGCCATCCACATCGCCGCCAGTTCCCCGGACTGCTCAATGGAGCGCGTCGCCGCCCTGATGTACTTCGCAGACGCCCGCGCCACCAGACATCTCAGCCACTCAATCACCGGCGACGACTACATGCAGAGCCGCTTCGGTCCAACTCCGTGCAACCTGTCACAGCTGATCAACGACATGACCAACGACGGCGACGTCAACGCCTGTACCACCATGACCTATACCGAGGTTAAAGCCTCCATCCTGCCTGCCCGTCAACCCAACCTGGCAGTCTTCACCGAGGACCAACGCGACCTGATAAATCGAGTCATCGACGACTTTGCCGATGCCACCACCGGCGACATCATGCACGCCGCCGAGCACGAGCTCAGCTACCGCTTGCAACGACCATATTCCCAACTCGCACTCTACCCCGTCCACGACCTACGAGAGTAACCAGCACCCATTACTGCAAACTCTCCAGCGCGCCGGCAGGCAGGGGCATCGTCCTCGCCCATGCCGGCGCGCTCGCAGAAGCCCCCTCCTGGCCCCTGACAGGGGTAGGTATGGGCTGAAATCGGGGTTGCGACATAGCTTGGGAAGGCGCACCGCCATCCGGCATCTTGGTTGTGAGACCACCAGATGCCGGAGACCCGCGATGCGCCTTCCCAGCGAATGCTATCAGATGCAAAAAACGATTGAACCGCATTTACCTCACCTCTCCCAGCCACAATTGACCGGCCTGGCGCTGTGGGTCTGCGGGGCCATCCTCGCCGGCAGCGCCTGCCAGAACGCCGTGGCCTCCGCCCTCTCGCCCTGGAGCAACTGGTACAACCTGCGCCAGCGCCTCAGGGAGTGGCTCTACGACGGCGGCGACCGCGCGACTCCCTGCCAGACCGAGCTGGACGTAACTCTCTGCTTCGCGCCACTGCTGCGGTGGGTCCTCTGCTGGTGGCGGTCGGGCGGCTTGGCCTTGGCCATAGACCCCACCCTCAAAGGCGACCAGACCACCGCCATCGTCATCAGCGTGGTATACCGCAGTTGCGCCATCCCCGTGGCCTGGCACATCCGGCACGCCGACCAGCCCGGCTCCTGGATGGACCCCACCGTGGAACTGCTGCAAGCCTTGGCCCCAGCGGTTCCCGAGAATATGACCGTCATCGTGCTCTGCGACCGGGGCATTGCCAGTCCCAAGCTGTGGCAGCAGATACGGGATCAAGGCTGGCATCCCGGTATGCGCTACCGAAAGAACATCACTTTCTGCGCTGACGGCGGCAAACGATTGCCCGCCCAGCGCTTCGTCTCCCGTCCCGATACGGCGTGGATTGGCCGCGGCACCGCCTTCAGCACCCCCAAGGCCCAACGCCGCTGCACCCTGCTGGTGGTCTGGTACTCCGAACAGGAGGAACCCTGGATCATCCTCACCGACCTTGCACCCGATCAGGTGGGTCCCAGCTGGTACGCCCTGCGCTTCTGGATCGAGTTGGGCTTCAAGGCCCTCAAGAGCCTGGGCTGGAAGTGGGACAAGACGCGGCGCACCGACCCCACCCGCGTCTCCCGGCACTGGCTCGTCCTGTCGGTGGCCACCCTGCTGGCCCTGGCCTATGGCACCAGGGTGGAGGACGCCCAGGAGCGGAGGATTGCTCCAGGCAACCTGCGGGACGCCGCCCAAAGCGCTGGCTCCCAATCACCGTGACCCTTGGAGCCGTCCGGCGCGCACCGTGAGCGTGATCCGCCACGGCATCGACTGGCTCCGGCGCTTGCGCGTGCTGGCAATTGTGCCGCCTCTGGTGACCGCGTGGGGCTGGCTGTCGTCCTCTTGATGATCTCGCTTGCTTGTGCGTGAACCCAGGACTGTGCGCAAGCCGGTGAGATTCTCGGGTGCGGCATTGTGGCCCACCGTTAAACCACTATACCTACCCCATGGCAGCTCTCTCCTGCCTCCCACAATCGTTCCAACGACAGACGCGCCGAACGCCGACGCCCGCTTCTCATCGCCCCGAGTACAGACCGAAACCTTGACTGCCGCCAGCCATACCGCGTGCTGACAGCCCAAGTGAACACCTCAGGCCAATAGCGTCATCAATCTCCAGGAGCCAACAATGATTGACACCAACGCCCCGCCCAGCCGTGGCTCCACCAGTAGGATTGTTCAAGTAGGCAGCGTCATTACGAAATTGGTAGTGTCCCGTCAAGTATCCGTGTTCGAAGTCAAGCCTTTTTTGTGGGATTGTCAGGACTTGTGGTCACGCGTCCTGTGGCACCCACGGCGTCCCTCTGCGAGCTACTGCGTTGAGCTGGAGCAGTATCTTGTGCATCACCGCTACCACTGCAACGTTCCCCGGCTTCCCACGTTGACGAAGTCGGTCATAAAACCGACGCATTTCGCTGTCGTGGCGGATGACCGCCCACGCGCACATGTACAGCGCTCTCCGCACCAGTCCCCGGCCACCCCTGATAGCCCGATGCCCTCGCTTCTTGCCGCTGTCTCGGGACCAGGGCGCCAGTCCCACCAGGGAGGTCAAAGCCTTGCTATCCCAGTGGCCCAGTTCGGGAAGGTGAGCCACCAGGGTTGCCGCGGTTAGCGGCCCGATGCCGGGCACGGTGCGGTACGAGGGCGGCGCGGTCGGCGAGCGTGGCATTGTCCTGTAGGACTGCCTGGTATTCCTTCTCCAGCCGAGCGATCTCCTTCTCCAGCCAGGCAATGTGGCGCCTGGTGGACTTGGCGATAGCGGCGGAAATGCCCTTGTCCAGCCGCCCCAACTCCTGGACCCGCTGGTCAACAAATTGCCGCCGCCGCCTGAGCAGGTCGCGCAACTCTTCACGCTGCGGGTCGGTCTCCGGTTCCCACGTATCCGCCTCCGGAAACACCTCCCCGTAGCGGGAGAGTACCTGGGCGTCCAGTGGGTCGGTCTTGGCCTCGTAACCGCAGGCTTTGGCGAAAGCGCGCACCCGGCCCGGGTGGACCACGTGCACCGCAATAGCGGTCTCGCGCAACCGGCTGGTCAGCAGCCGTTCGTAGCCGCCCGTTGGTTCACAGACGGCCAGGGTGGTGTCGTGCTCTTGAAGGTGTTTGCGCAGCTTGGTGATGCCTGTTGCGGTGTTGTCGAAACGCAGCACCGGGCCACCCGAGACCGAAACGTCCAGGTTGGCCTTGCCTACGTCAATGCCGGCTACCATTGTCATTTTCTTGCTACCCTCCCAGTGGGATAATGCCTGGTGTCCTCCACACTTGTAGATGCGGGCCTCAAAGCCCCTGTATCCGTTCGGAGCGACCAGAACGGCGGGAGGGGTGTCCAACTTGACGCCGGTGCAGTCCAGGATTGTGGCCTGGCTCACCCAGAAGTGAACGACGCGCCCCTCTCGCCCGCCCCGCAGATCGGCCGATCCACGGGACTACTGCAACATACAAGTAGTGTAAAAGCGCGTCATCCCTTTTGATGTTGATCAGGCCGCTGCGTCCAGCATGTTGGGCTCCGGCAGTGCCTCGTTGCCGGCGGCGTTGGGGATGGTGAGGTAGCGGCGGGCTTCGGCCCATTCGTCGTGTTGCTCGGCCAGCACCGCGCCCACCAGGCGCCGCGCCGATAGCCGGTTGGGGAAGATGCCCACCACGTCCCCTTTCGGGGGCAGGCTCCGGCGCCTTATCTCCCGGTTCAGCCGTTCCTGCGGGTTGTTGGACCACAGCTTCTGCCAGTGGGCCACTGGGAAGGCCGTGAAGGCCAGGATGTCCGGCGCGGCGTCCGCCAGCAGTTCGGCCACCTGGGGAAAGGGCTCCCGGAGTTGTTCCACCACTCGGTCCAATTGGCCGTGGACCTCGGCGGGAGACAGTTGCTGGTAGATGGTGCGTACCATGCGAGAAGGTCCTGGGTGGCCACGCCAGGTTGGGCACGCTTGGGCACGCGGGTGAGCAGGTTGGCCATGAAGTGGGTGCGGCAGCGCTGCCAGCTGGCTCCAGCAAAGACTGCGGCGATGGCGTTCTTCAGCCCCTGGTGGGCATCGGAGGTCACCAGTTCCACCCCGCTGAGGCCCCGAGCGGTCAGCGACCGCAGGAAGGCCAGCCAGAACGCGCCGTCCTCGCTGGCGCCCACGTCCATACCCAGGATCTCACGCTGCCCTTCGGCATTGACCCCCGTCGCCACCACCACGCAGACGTTCACGATGCGGCCGCCCTCACGCACCTTCTGGGTCAGGCCGTCCAGCCAGACGTAGGGGTAGGGACCACCGTCCAGAGGCCGACCCAGGAAACTGTCCACTACTTCATCCAGTTGCTCGCAGATGCGCGACACCTGGCTGCTGGAGATGCCGTCGCAACCCAGGGCCTTGATCAGGTCGTCCACCCTTCGGGTGGAGACTCCCTCCACGTAGGCCTGCTGGATCACCGACAGCAGAGCCTTCTCGCTGCGCCGCCGTGGTTCCAGCAGGCTGGGGAAGTAGCTGCCTTCCCGCAGCTTGGGAATGTGCAACTCCATGGTGCCCACCCGGGTATCCCAGGTGCGGTTGCGGTAGCCGTTGCGGTAGGTGACCCGCTCTGGGCTGCGTTCGCCGTGCTGGCGCCGATCTGGGCGGAAACCTCGGCGTCCATGATGCCGTCCACCAGGACCCGCAGTGCTTCCCGCAGCAAGTCCACGTCTCCGTCCATACCACGCTTGCGTAATAGGTAGTGTCCCGTCAATAGGTGTAAAAGCGCGTCATCCCTTTTGATGTTGATTAGGCTGCTGCGTCCAGCATGTTGGGCTCCGGTGTTATTCACGGGTTTAAACTGAGCCAAAAATTACGGGTTGGAATTGAGCCACCTCGATAGTAAGGGCATCATCGTCAGACATATGGCGGAGGTGCCTGGAAGAATTGCTAAGAGGTGGAGACGTGAAACAGATTTACGAGATGAGAGGGGCGGGTCATTCGACGCGGGCGATTGCTCGGGAGTTGGGGCTCGCACGGAATACGGTGTTGCGGTATCTGAAGTCACCGGAGGCGATACGGCCCAAGCCGCGATCCCGACGAGGGTCGAAGTTGGATCCCTACACCGAGCACATTGACCGGCGGCTGGGGGATGGCCTGGGAAAACTGCGTGGTGTTGCTGCGGGAGTTGCGCGACTTGGGGTACGACGGCAGCAACACGATCTTGTCGGAATACGTGAGGCCGCGGCGCCGGCGTCGTCAGCCGGAGGCGACGATGCGGTTTGAGACGGAGCCGGGAGAGCAGGCGCAGGTGGACTGGGGGCAGTTTGTCCTACATTGGGGCAGACGGGAAGCAGCGCCGCGTCTGGGGTGTTCGTGATGACGCTGGGCTGGTCGCGGGCCTGCTACGTGGAACTGGTGCGCAAGGCGGACACCGCGGCCTTCATCCAGTGCCACGTCAATGCCTTCGAGTATCTGGGCGGCGTGCCCCGCCGGTGCCTTTACGACAATGCCAAGGTGGTCACGCTGGGCCGAGACGAAGAGAAGCGACCGATCTGGAACCAGCGGATGCTGGATTTCGCCTTGCGCGTGGGTTTTGAGGCTCGGCTGTGCCAGCCCTACCGAGCCCAGACCAAGGGCAAGGTGGAGAACGGGGTCAAGTACGTGCGGCGTAACATGTGGCCGAGCATCCGCTTCACCACGGCATCATCTGGAAACTGGCCGACCTGAACCGGCAGGCTCTGGAGTGGTGCGACGTGGTGGCCAACGCGCGGGTGCACGGAACGACCCACCGGGTGCCGTGGGAGATGCTGGCCGAGGAGAGGCCCCACCTGGGGAAGCTGCCCGATCGGGCCACGCTGGCGCCGTACCTGCGGGAGGACCGCAAGGTGTCGCGGGACGGTTTCGTCAGCTGGGAGGGCTCCCGGTACGGCGTCCACTGGAAGTGGGTAGGGGCCAAGGTGCAGGTGGGGGAGCGCCAGGGCACGGTGGAGATCTGGGCTGGTGATGAGCGCATCGCGGTGCATCCCCGGGCGCAACAGCCCAAGCAGCGCTTCATCCTGCCCGGCCAGTGGTCGGGCCTGCCCAGGGGTGACAACCGGCCTCGGAAAGAGGCAGTGGCGGTGCAGATTCCCGCGGGCGAGGTGGAACGCCGCTCGCTGGAAGTGTACGAGCTGGTGGCGGGAGGTGTGGCATGATCGCTCTGGAACAAGTGCGCCAGTACCTGGAAACCCTGGGCCTCAAGCAGGGCCGTCGAAGTCCTGGACAACACCCTGGACGCCGCGGCCAACCGGCAGTTGCCCTATCCCGAGATGCTGGCCGAACTGCTCGGCGTGGAGGTAGCCGCCCGTCGGGAACGCTACCTCACCACTCGTACCCGGCTGGCCCATCTGCCTTTCCAGCGTACCTTCGAGCAATTCGACTTCGCCTTCCAGCCCTCCATCGACGAGCGGCTGGTCAAGGAACTGGCCAACCTGGCCTTCGTCGCCGAAGCCACCAACGTCCTGCTGCTGGGTCCGCCCGGCGTGGGCAAGACCCACCTGGCCATCGCCCTGGCGCTGCGGGCCATCGAGAATGGCCACGGCGCTTACTTCGTCCGCGCCTACGACCTGATGGAGGACCTCAGGAAGGCCCGAGCCGAGCACAACCTGGACCGGCGGATGAAGGTCTACCTGGCGCCCAAGGTGCTGGTCGTGGACGAATTCGGCATCTGGCCCTACGACCGGGAGTCGGCCACCGCCTTCTTCTACCCTGGTGTCCGCCCGCTACGAACGGGGCATCATCATCCTCACTTCCAACAAGGGCTTCGGAGAATGGGGCGAACTGCTGGGCGACAGCGTGATCGCCTCGGCGGTGCTGGACCGCCTGCTGCACCACAGCCACGTACTGAACATCCGCGGCGAGAGCTACCGGCTCAGGGAGAAACGCCAGGCGGGGCTATTCCCGTCGCAACACCACATCAGCGCAGCGTCGGAGGAGGCCGGCGACAACTACGCGCACTGACCAAATCGCTGAGCAAATACCAAGTGGTTCAATTTTAAACCGTAAAAATGGCTCATTTCTAACCCGTCATTGACACCAGCAGTGCATCGTGCCGGGGAGTTGGGGAGGTGAGTGGCAGGTAGCGAGGGCTTCGGCCATTACGTCGTGTTTGCTCGGCCAGCCACCGCGCCCACCAGGCGCCGCGCCGATAGCCGGTTGGGAAGATGCCCACCACGTCCCCTTTCGGGGGCAGGCTTCCGGCGCCTTATCTCACGGTTCACCGCCGTTTCCTGCGGGTTGTTGGACCACAGCTTCTGCATGGGCGCACTGGGAAGGCCGTCGAGTGCCAGGATGTCCGGCGCGGCGTCCGCCAGCAGTTCGGCCACCTGGGGAAAGGGCTCCCGGAGTTGTTCCACCACTCGGTCCAATTGGCCGTGGACCTCGGCGGGAGACAGTTGTGGTAGATGGGCGTACATGCGAGAAGGTCCTGGGTGGCCACGCCAGGTTGGGCACGCTTGGGCACGCGGGTGAGCAGGTTGGCCATGAAGTGGGTGGCGGCAGCGCTGCCAGCTGATCCAGCAAAGACTGCGGCGATGGCGTCTTCAGCCCCTGGTGGCATCGGAGGTCACCAGTTCCACCCGCTGAGGCCCCGAGCGGTCAGCGACGCAGGAAGGCAGCCAGAACGCGTCCCGTCCTCGCTGGCGCCCACAGTACAATACCAGGATCTCACTGCTGCCCTTCGAATTGACCCCGTCGCCCACACCACGCAGACGTTCACGATCTGCGCCGCCATCACGCACCTTCTGGGTCAGGCCGTCCAGCCAGACGTAGGGGTAGGGACCACGTCCAGAGGCCGACCCAGGAAAACTGTCCACTACTTCATCCAGTTGCTGCAGATGCGCGACACTGGCATGGAGATGCGTCGCAAACCCAGGCCTTGATCAGGTCGTCCACCCTTCGGTGGACATCCCTCCACGTAGGCTGCTGGATCACCGACACAGCACTCTCTCGTGCGCCGCCGCCGTGGTTCCAGCAGCTGGGGAAGTAGCTGCCTTCCCGCAGCTTGGGAATGTGCAACTCCATGGTGCCCACCGGGTATCCAGGTGCGGTTGCGGTAGCCGTTGCGGTAGGTGACCCGCTCTGGCTGCGTTCGCGTGCTGAGCGCCGATCTGGGCGGAAACCTCGGCGTCCATGATGCCGTCCACAGACCCGCAGTGCTTCCGCAGCAAGTCCACGTCTCCGTCCATACGACGCTTGCGTAACAATTCCAAAAGATCCATTCTTTGCTTGACCACCGTCGTTCTCTTGGTGGGTTTGTTGATTCCACAAGGATGACGCGGTGGTCAGCGTTTTGCCACCGCCTCAATCTCTTACACAAACTTCCTGGACGCCTACACTACTCGCTGCCACGCTACAACACGGCTACAAACCACACCGCCAGATAGCGTCCGGAAGACTCCACAACGACACGCCGGGGACCCACACGGCGCCTGATAAAGGACAATTTGTCTGCCGGTAGCGCCGACTATTTGTTGCCGGCACATTGCCTCCGCATCGCCGTCACCGGCAGTCAAGCCGTCCACGTGGCACACTTATCTCCGCCTTTACAAGTGTAATTTGCGCGACCCGCACAATCAAGTAGACTCTACGCCTTCCAACGCCTTCGATGGCCGCGACCCCAGGCTGGATGACCAGCACAGTATGAGGTGCTCAATATTTACACGCTATGGCCACACTCGGCGGCGCGGTCAGCGACGATTGGAACAGATGGCTGGTACGGGACCGACACGGTCCACCACGACAGTGACAAGCATCGCAGTGATCCGGGGAATCATACCCGATTGCCCCGCCACCAGTAGCTGTCGCCAGGCCAGTTTGCCAGACACGATTGCAAAACAGGCGGGCTGGACAGATAGTAGGCATACGTGATTCGATATCCAGCGTTGCTGGACGTGTGACGAGGGAGCTCACTTAATGGAGTGGTCTTTCCGACATCGCGTGGCGCCTGGCAGATAGGGTGAGACGAAGCCCGGCCTGCTGAAACGCCGAGCGTCGCTGTACAGGACTCTGCCTCGAGACGGAACAAGACGGCTCGAGTTGCAATCCCAGCCCCTTCCGGCCATCCCACAGTGCCGTCGGACAAACCAATTGGTGTCCATCCGTTGATCAGCCTTCCGGCAAGAGCCGCGGGCCGACTGACCTCGCAGAGGCATGTCGCAGCAGTAGCTCGACAGCGAGGCCCGTCGGCGCGTATGACCTCGCACTGACCGTCATCAGTGGATGGTCGGCGCATCGCGGCGCGTACTGGACGGATAACGTTCATGCGGGCCATGTCCGCAACGAGGAGGTCTTGCAGGTGGCGGTTCGTTCTGTTTTGAGCGATGCTCGCCTGCTTGGCTCGCCCTCTCCTACCACCCAAAAGTAAAGGGGACCCGCCGGCTGCCAACGTGCATGGAGGATCTACGTTCGGTCGGGAGGGTGGGGCCGTCGTAACGCATCGACGTACCCGATATTTGGGCATCCACACATTCCGGCGTCCTCAGCCTTATTGATCTTACTCGCCGAGGTCGCCAAGGATCATTACTTAACCCGTTTGTGTAGAGAAGAAAGAAAAAATTAGAGAGGAGTTAGAAGAGAATAAGAAGAAAGATAAGAGGAGTAAAATAAGAACAGGAAAAGAAAGAAATGAAAGAATAATTTCGAAAAGAAAACCTTGCCTCCCCTCCTCCCTCCCCTCCTCCCCCCCTACGCCCCCTCCTACCCCGTGCCTCGCCGTCGCCCCTCCATCTCTCTCCTCCTTCTGCTTCCTCCTCCCTACCTCCGCCCTCCCCTCCCCTTCCCCCCCCCCCTTCTCTCTCCGGCCTCTGGTCCTCGCACCCGTCGTTCTCCTCACTCTTTCGCCCGGCCCTCTCGGCCGCCCTCGCCTCGCCTCCACCGCTCAGCCGCCCGCCCCCTCCTCTGCGCGCCCACGCTCTTACCCTCCTCCGCCCCTTCTCACCCTCCTCCTCCCTCCGCCCTCCCCGTCTCCTGCGTTTTTTCGTGCGGCATTACTCTGCGGCCCGATCTTCCTGCCCCAAGTTGCAAATGCTATCGCGCCACGCTGAACCGCGTCCGGCGTCGCAATGGGCAAGCGCCACGGCTTTCGCGTCAGCGCGTGGCTGACGCTGCCATGGTTGGTTCGAGGTCTCCAAGCGTACCACTCGCGACAGTACAGCCTCTCGCGATCAGGGCTGCTGATGATCGCCAGGCTGCGGTCGCCCAGATAGCTTGTGTGCGGGCTGCGCCTCGCCACTGCTTACGACGCGACGGCTCCGTGAAGTAGGCATGGAGTTCCTGGAAAGTAGGGAAGTAGAGTACCGGGAGGTGGTGTTAAAGGCTCGTTGTAGCCGAAAGCTGACCGACTCGCGTCATCGTTGATGTAACACAACGCAATCAAGGCGGAACGGCGGTGGTCAAACACAGCAATGGCATCTTTTGGGCATCGGGGATATTGCGCAAGCGCGGGTGACGGTAGGACGGAGACGTGTGACTTTCTGGCGGGAGACGCTTGCGGGTCCTGTGGACGGCATTCATGGACGCTGAGGTTCCGCCGCAGATCGGCGGCTGAGACGGCGAAAGCGTAAACGCAGCCGGAGCGAGTCACCTACCGACACGGCTACCGCAACCGCACCTGGGTACCCGCGTCGGCGCCACCGCGAGCTCAATATCATGAGCTGCACCTTTCCCAAGCTGCTGGAGGGCAGTCTACTTCCCAGCCGGCTGGAACCGCTGGCGGCGCAGCGAGATAAAGCCTGCTGTCCGGGATCCAGCAAGCCTACAACCGAGCTCCATCTCATCGAGTGGCGGGTCCACCGCCGCCGGGTGGACGATCTGATCAGGCCCTGGGCCTGCGACACCATCTCATCCTCCGACGCACCGATGGCAACACTACGACGGCGCCATATCATCATCGCGTCTACCGGCCTTATCCCAAGTCATCTTCCTCAAATGTTTGATCTACACTAGCGTCCACCGCAGCTTGGGCTTTCTGGGCGAATTCCCACCCAGATTCTACAAAGTCCAACTTGTATCTCCGGCCGCCGGAGTGCTGGACTACCACCGATCTCGAGAAGCCTCCTGACCATGTGACGCTGTCCACTTCGCCGTGACGAATTTCGGCAAACCGGTTACCTCCACCCCAGCCAATGATTACAATGCGTCGGTCTGTCACCACACATTCCGCGTTGGTGAATTTTTCCCGTTGCATCAACCCATAGATTAATATCGCCAAGCCTGGTATGAAGCAACAACAGAACCCGATCGCCGCTCCAATGCCCAATTTGTCGGTTTCCGTCGTCCAGATGTGGATCGGTCTGGGACCGCTACGGCAACGGTCTCTTCCCCAGGTTCCAATTGGAAAGCTCCGAATGTGTACATGACAGATCCTTTACTCCAGGATTACCTGGTCATCCGCCCGGTCTGAGCCGCCAGCGGCACTGCCGCTTCCGCCGATGCCCACAGTTCCTATTTGCAGGTCGTCAGCCTTTGACTGCCGCCGCGCCGGGAAAGCGTCCTCCAAATCTTTCAGATATGACCCAGGGATCCTCTTGATCGAGAACAGGCCCACGATGATCGATATGTACGCCATGTAGACGCCCACACCGATTGCTATCATCGTGACGTCCAGCCGCAGCAGCGTGGTCAATTCCATGCCAAACCCGCATCCGAGTAACACGCCCGTGAAAGCCCGCAGAGGAGTTGTGCTCTCTCGATAGCCCCAAGTCTGAGTCACCCAATCTACCAATGCCGGCATGGGAAGTACGCCTAACACTACTGTCCACACCGCTGTTCCCACCGACAGGTCGGTGAGTTGGAATCCGATGGCAGTTATCGCGCAAGCCGACCACTGGAACGTGCATCGTGTGCAAAAGGCCTGTTGCCAACCCCACAGTCTGACAACCATCGTTCGATTCCGACGGTGAGCAGAATGGTGTGATAGGGCCATGTACGGGAGCCATGGCAACGAGCGGTAACGCCTTCCGCCTACTCGTAAGCACATGCTGGTCACTGTTTGCCGTCTGGGTAACGGCCAGCCATGAAGGCCACAAGACGGTCATATCGATCTTGCGACGCAGGCCAAATTCGCTCAGCTTGGCTCGGGCCATACTGGTTCGGCCCCGGATTGCTAGTAGTCGAGCAGAGTTGGACTGATGGATAATAGTTAGAAAGAAAGGGTTTAAAGATGCAGGTAGGGGAGTGGGTGAATGAGAAAGTACCGGGTCAAGGCTGAGTGCGGAGGAGCGGCGGACTTGAATTGAAAGGCAATGGTTTCGCAATGGGCGTTTCCTGCAGCGTACAAGCATACCCTGCCCGCATCCTGCTGTTGGGCGACGAGGCGCAAGAGGGAGGGGCTATGAGATGAAGAAGACATTGCCGGCCCCTCCAGTTGGGCCGTGCGACGGTGGAGCGGGTACGCCGTGCCGCTGTGTTGCGGAGGTGTGGAACGGCTTGGTGGCGCAAGGAGCACTGAAACCGCAGGCGGAAGCGGCTGGACGTCGGGTAAGCCCACTGGATTGCCCTGGCCTGCGGGAACCCCCAGGGGCGGGGCCAGTTGGACGCTGCAATGCTGGCCATGGACTGGTGGAAAGGGAGATAGTAGAGAGCATCAGCTCTGAACGGTGTCGCCAGAACGCTGAAAAAAAAACCAACTTAATCCTTGGCTGACAGAGTGTTGGTGCATCCCTTCCCTCCGCATGCAAGCGCCGAGGTTTGTCCTTGTCTGCGCCATGGAGGACGTGCTGGAAGTCTATCGCGCCAAGTAAATGCGGAAACGAGGTCCTGGTCTGCCTGGAATTAATACCAATCAGCAGCCGTGAAGAGACGCGCCAGCCCGTTTCCCGCCCAGCCTGGGGGCGGTTGGGCTCCTACGATTACGCTTAGACTACGAACGCACCGGAGTGAGCCACCTGTTTCATGTTGTTTCGCACCGCTGGGGGGTGGCGGCCGGTTGGAAAAGTACGGACCGGCGTAAACCAAGTCGATTGGGCGCAGGTGGTCAAGCAACTGGTGGACGAGGACTACACCGAACAACGACCGTATCGTGCTTGGTGATGGTACAATCTGAACACTCATCCACACCCATACCCCCACCCCACCCCCGACCCCCCACCCCCCCCCAACCCCAGTTCCATTGTATTAGTCCTTTGAAAACCTGGCCGAGGCCCTGCGCAATCGCGGAGCGGCTTGAGATTCCTAACCCCCAGCACGCAGTTGGCTGGATATGGCCGAGATTGAAATCGGGGTGATGTCCCGTCAAATTCCTGGACCGTCGCATTCCGGATCAAAGAACCTGCGTGCGGGAGGCCGCAGCGTGCAGGACCGGCGCATGCCAGAGGCACATAAACAGTAGACTGGCGCTTTAGCACCGCAGACGCCCTCGCATAAATGTGAATCAGTCTTAGATCCATGCATCACAAAACTGATGGACTACGATGGCATCAACAGAAAACAGCCTATGACAGGCCCACGAAGGAACGCACTGGCGAACAATACCCACACCCGCACTTCTCCCGTATCCGTCTTGAAGCCGCCGGACCTGTACCGCCAAGGACGGGCTGATGAGTGAGAAGCCCGCAAAGAGTGCCAAGACGCGAAAATTCCCACCCTCACCTGGATTCCTAAGAACCTGTCTACGATCTCTGAAATAGGTTTTAAGCTGGAGACTATTATCAGGGGAGGGGTATCATGTCTCATTCCTATCCCAGCGACATCAGCCGGGGAGCAATTCGTCCGGATTCTGCCGACGTTGGAGTCGGCCGACGCCGGACCAAGCCCCGCACGTGGACTTGTTATGACGTTTCTGCGGCGTGCTGTACCTCTGAAAAGTGGGGTGCCAGTGGCGATGCTGCCTGCGGACTTCCCCAATTGGCGTACTTGCTACAAGTATTTCCGGCAATGGAGCGAGCGGCCTGGGCCCGGGTCAGGATTCATTCTGGAGCAAGTCCTAAAAAAATCGGTTGGCGCGGCCCGACAAAGCAATGGACGGAAAGAGCAGACCAGCTTCTGTATACGTGGACTCCCAGAGCGTCAGAAACACGGACACCGCTCGGGCACAAGGGCTATGACGAGGCAAAGAAGGTGTCGGGAATCAAGCGTCCATTCGCGGTGGACACGCAAGGATTGCCCATTGCGATTACACGTGACTACCGCCGACGTTACCGACCGGGGCTGGGGCTTTGGCGATGTTTGACCGGCGCCGAGACGGCCTCAGTCAAGTGCAGAACGTGCTGTGGACGGGGGTTACACTCGGAAGCCCTTTGCCACTGCGGTGGCAAGGCCTGTTGGGAGCCGCGGTGGAAAGTGGTGAAACGCAACGAACTGCACACCTTCGTGGTGGCTGCCAAAGCGATGGGTGGTGCGAGCGGTCTTTCGCCTGGCTGGAAAAGTGACCGCCGACTCTGGAAGAACTGCGAAAGAAAGCTCAATACCAGCCTGCAAATGGTGGTGCTTGCCTTCACGGTGCTAATCCTAAAAAGATTGTAAACAGGCTCTAAGAGCAACAATACGATGGCCAAGCCATAGTTGATCAGTATGAACGGCCAGAGTTCCGACCGCTTAGCTCGACCGCTGAAATCAGCGTATTTCGCGAACGTGCTTATGTACGGCATATGCACTATCCTAGTGGCGTGAGACGTTCAAAGACATCACTGATTCCCTAGCCTTTTCCGCACTAACGCGCAATATAGTTGCCGGCTATGACTTAGTCAATCCGACTCTCACTCCTGATATCACAGCGCGATAATAGAGGATCTGGCAAACTAACAGGATGTTGAAATGGGGTGGTTGAATGGCGGGGTGCAGTATTCGGGCGTCGTAATATCACACGCTGGCGTCTGCGATCCGGGGTCTGAGGTCTGGTGGACGCTGGTCTCAGGCCGATTTAGGAGCTTTCCAGCATGGTGAGCCGGTTCAGGACAGACTGATCCCGCGGCTCACGCTGTGGCCGCCGTCAGTTTGGCCAGTCGCACCAGGTTGTAGCCGGCGATAGTCATTTCCGCCCACAAGCGGTTGCGGGCCAGCCCGCGGTAGCGCAGTTTCCGTCCGCCACCCACCGTCTTCACCCAGCCGAAGACCTCTTCAATTCGCTTCCGTGCCCGCTGACTGAACCGGTACCATCGTGGCGCGTGGTGCGTCTGTCGATGGCCGAGCGCTGCTTCTGGGCCACATGGGGCGTTACCTTCAGGTTCCGGCATGCTCTGACGAAGCCCCTGGTATCGTAGCCCCGGTCAGCACCCACGGTAAGGCGTCGGTGCACGCGTGACGCCAGCATCTCCAACGCGCGTCTGTCCCGTCCCGGCGCATCGGCGGGCGTGAGACGCAAGTCCACCACCAGTCCTTCCCGATTGTCAATCAGCACGTGAGCGCCGAAAACACAGTCGTGCTTCCTTGCTTACCTTCTTGGCCAGCCTGGCCTCCGAGTCCGTGGTGGACCGATGAGTCTCATTGCGCCGCCACTCCCCGTGGAAGTCCACTTCTGGGTTACGCCCGCCACCCTCAGGCGGGGCGCCTCCTCGTCAGCGGCGGGTCTCGACGCGAAACTCTTCACACGCCCACCCCTCTGAGCGTCCGTCCACGCTGAAATGATCCTCCGACAGCATCTCTGTCCGAGCCTGTTCACTATCCGAAGCAGAAACTCTCGGGGCCACGTCCGGCGCAACAGCCGTTGCGGTTCTGGCGAACACCGAGTGGTCGAAACTGTGGTCCATGATGTTCAGGTCCAGAAACCACTTGAACAGCAGGTCGTACTCCAGCCTTTCACAGAACTGCCGCTCACTGCGCGCCGAGTAAGCGCCATCAGCAGGCAGGCTTTCAGCAGGTGCTCCGGCGGTATCGAGGCGCGACCGTTTTGGGCATACCTCCGGGCAAAGGTGGGAGAAAGCTGGGCCAGGGCCCGATCCACCATTGGTTTGATACGACGAATGGGATGGCCTTGGGGAATCAGATCGTCCGTCGTAACCGCCGTCAGCATCTCAACCTGTCGCGCCGCGTTGCCTCGCATGAGGAACCTCCACAGTCCTGGTACCCGGCATCCTACCATCACCTCGCTAACCCGCCCCGTTTTTCAACACCCTGCTAGTATTACAACGACGCATCAGAGGTACGACCCCTGATGCCTGTTCGTTCCCTTCTTGGATTCGCGCCTGCCAGCTATCGCAGCAGACCCACATTACGAAGCGTTTCCGAAGGGCCACCACAACCCGTCGTTGTAATACTAAACCAATACCAAGGTGGGATGTGCATTTCGAGGGTCTTGAAGACTACCGAAAGGACCCTAATACTACAGCCGCAGATCAGTAGCAGGTCTCTTCTTGATCGTCGGCGCTACCTTACCATTCCAGTTTTGGGGCTGTTACAATTTGCACCGCAACCCCAAACTAACGAAACTTTTGGAGAGTAATCATGGCTGTTTCCGCCGGGATATCAAATGCGCTGGAACGTAACTGGGGTATGGTAGACCGCGCCATAGACGGGCTGAGTGATGAGACACTGGCGCGCCAGATATCCGACAGCGACAATTCCATCGGTTGGCTCCTCTTCCACATGAGCCGGGTGGTGGACGTTTTCATGAATGCCAGGTTCCAAGGCAAGCCTCAGATATGGATAGAGGACGGTTGGTGCGAGAAATTCGGCCTGAGCGACGACCCGGAGACGACCGGCCAAGGCTGGGACACGGCGCGCCTGGCCGCGTGGCCGCTTCCCTCCAAAGACGTCCTGGTAGGGTACTACGAGGCCATGAAGGCCTGCTGCCGGGACTATATGTCCTCCGTGACCGACGAGGAGTTGAGCGCCACCATGAGCCTGAGGCCCGGTTCGGACCCCGAGCCGAAAGAGACCATCATGGGTGTCCTGGTCTTTGACAACATCGTCCACGGAGGCCAGATAGCCTTCCTGCGCGGCCACTTGGAAGGCATGGGCTGGTTCGTCTAGCCCGAACGCAGGCTTCCCGGACAATTTCTACAGATTTACCGAAGAGCACGGCGAACTCAAGCCGTGCTCTTCCTTTTGGCCGGGTAGTTTGCCTAGTCGAAGGATCGCAGGGCAATGGCTCTGGGTTTCGCAGGAGTGCGCGGATGTTATGCGCGCTGCAAATTGCCGTCAATGCCGAGGCCCTGGCTCCCAGCGCGGTTCGTTGACTCCCGTTAAATGGCGGTGCTATGGTGGGCCACCCTGACGAACCGGAGCTGCAATGCGCCGGACCGACTATCGCTGGATTATCCTGGCCACCGGGTTCGCGATCCTCTTTTTCAACGGCGGGTCGCGCTCTGCCCTGGGGCTCATGCTGAAGCCCATGGGCGACGATCTGGAATGGAGTCGATCGGCCCTTTCGCTGGGGATCACGGCGTACATGCTGGTCTCTGCACTGGCGATGCCCTTCGTGGGCCGGCTGGCAGACCGCTTCGACATGCGCTGGGTCATGGGTACGGGGGTAGTAGTGGGCGCCGTGGGTGTGGCCTGATGAGCCTGATCGCCTCTCCGTGGCAACTGTTCGCCGTTTACGGCCTGGTCTTCGCGTTGGGGAACGCGGGTGTTTCCAACCCGATCGTTAGCGTCATGATCGTCAGGTGGTTTCCGGACCGTCGGGGGGTGGCCAACAGCGTCGCGGTATCTGGCAACGCCATCGGCCAGCTGGTGATCGTCGGCCTGCTGGCCCAGTCGTTGGTCAGGTTCGGTTGGCGGGTGTCTTACGCCGCACTGGGGCTGGCCAACCTGGCGATCCTGGCGCCCATAGCGTTTGCAGCGGTCAGGGCGGCGCCGTCCCAGGCGGCGCGAGGCAAACAGCCATCGAGCGACAACCCTGCTACCACGGAGCAGGCTGTCGATCTACGGCAGGTTTCGCTGTGGACGTCGGGGCAGCTGTGGTTACTGGGCGGGATCTACGCGATATGCGGGTTCCAGGACTTTTTCGTGGCAACCCATGTGGTGGCGTTCGCTTTGGACATTGGGTTCGGCGCGCTGATCGCGGGGAACCTGCTCGCCTTGATGGGAGTGATGGGACTGTTGGGGGTGCTGGTCTCGGGGTTCCTGGCCGATCGCATCGGCCCGGCCCGGCCAACACTGCTGTGCTTCGCAATGAGGATAGGAATCTTTGTGCTGGTGATTCTTTCCCAGTCCAAGCCGGCGGTGATGATGTTCGCGCTGCTGTACGGCTTCACCTTCCTGATGACGGCGCCGTTGACGGTGATCTTCTCGGGGAACATCTTTGGGTCGGCGCGGCTGGGGCGGATCAGCGGAACGATATCGATGATCCACCAGATCAGCGGGGGCATCGGGGCGTTGGCCGGGGCACTGGCGTTCGACATCTGGGGCAGCTACGACCGGGCCTTTCTGCTGATGTTGACCCTGTCCGTAGTAGCAACGGCCGGGACGCTCCTGGTTCGTGACCGCAGGACCGGAGTGCCAACGACACAAGGGTGCTTCCTGATAGGCGCGTGCCTCTGATATCCGGTGTCCCCAGAGCAAGGGAAACACGGGTTACCGCACACGTCAATGGGCGAAGCGCGGCATAACCTTCGTGGCAAAATGCTCCAGGTTGCGCAGTATCTTGCGCTGCGGTATGCCGGAATGGGCGAACTCCACGAGGAGATAGCCCAGGTTGCATACTTCCTGCAGTTCCTGGATTTTCTCCGCGACGTTGTCCGGCGAGCCCACCAACAATGTTCGGGGCTCCAGGAAGTCCCAGTCCAGTTTGACCTCCGGGTCGAGATCTTCGCCGGGATTGGTGAACACCTGTCGCCCGCGGAAGGGGTCGTTGAATATGAACGCCGACATGATGCCGCGCTCGGCATCCCTGCGGGCTTCTTCCATTGACGGGGCGACGTAGGTGGATCGCATGACCGCCTGGTCTTCGCCCAATCTGAACGGGCGGCCCTCCAGGTTGGTACGGACCTCGGCGTAGAGTTCCATGCGTTGCCGGATTCTAAGTGGAGGCGGCTGCCAATAGCAGGCTTTCAGCCCCATCTCGGCGGCGGTAGTCACCGACCGGTCGGTGGACACCGTCATCCAGAGGGGAGGATGAGGATTTTGGTAAGGTCGAGGAGTAACGCGCAGCTTGGTCACGCGGTTGCCGTCCTGCCACGCTGGATCAGCGGCAAGCGACGGGTGAGAGAAAGCAGTGTCCGGAGCGGGAAAGGTGTAGTTGGATCCCTGGTGGGCAAAATACTCGTTGGACCAGATCTTGCGGACTATCTCGACCGTTTCCTGGAACAGCTCCCGGTTCTCCATGTCATTGCGGGGGTCCGCGTTGGGGTGAAACTGCGGCCCCTCGTATGGCCAGATGCCGCGTCCAAAGCCTACTTCGAGGCGGCCTCCGCTCATGTTGTCCAGTATAGCCAGGTCCTCGGCGAGCCGGATCGGATGCCACCAGGTGGCGATATTCGCCATCTGGCCGATGCGGATTCTGGAGGTGCGGGCGGCTAGGTCCGCGCCCAGCAGTATCGGATTGGGGAGATCGCCCACGCCGAACGGGGTGAAGTGATGCTCGCCCAGCCATATGGCCTCGAAGCCGAGCTCTTCCGCCAGGATGGTCTGCTGCCGCAGGTTGTCCAGCAGACCTGCCGAATCGGTGGCTTCTCCGGCCGAGGCCGCCACGGTGGTGAATGCCGCGAATCGCATGCCAGGGCCTCCTCTCTTAGGTTCGTGTACCAGATGCCTGCCGTAGCGATTACCTTACCCGAACCAGCTTCTGCACGCGCTGGTTGGAGGTGTCGGCGCCATAAATGTTGCCCTGGGAGTCGGTGTAAACCTGGTGGGCGTATTCGAAGGTCCTGCCCCGGGCCAGGAGTTCACCATCCAAAGTCAAAATGCTGATGCGCGGCACCTGGTCGGTAACGTAAACCCTCTGCTCCGCATCGATGTGCACGCCCATGGGACACTTGAAGTCGGTCCACTGGTCCACGAAGTCGCCGTCGACGGTGAACACCTGCACGCGGTTGTTCTCCCGGTCCGCCACGTAGACCCGGCCGTCGACGGACACGCGGATGCTGTGGGGCACCAAGAACTCGCCGGGCCCTCGGCCGGGACTGCCGAAGGAGGCGATCAGGGTACCGTCGGCAGCAAGCCTGTGCACGGAGGAGTTGCCGTAGCCGTCGGCGACGAACAGCTCACCGGAGGGGGCCACGCAAACATCGGCTGGATGGTTGAACGGGGCCTGGAGCGCCGCGCGGTTTCGCGTGCCTATTGACGACAGCAGCTCTCCTTCTGGAGAGTATTTCAGGATCTGGTGCGCGTCCCGATCCACCAGGTAGACGGAATCGTCGGGACCCACGTGGATGTGGTGGGCGTCGGCGGGAACGCCGTCCGGTCGTTCCCAGGCCGCCACCGGGTTTCCATCCGGGTCGAATACCAGCACGGGAGGCCCCTGCCGTTGAAACACGTACACTCGGTCATGGCTGTCGACGGCAACTCCGCTGATGCCCCGGAACCCCTGGCCAACCGGGAGACGGGGCCATTCCGGTTGGTATTCGTACACGTAATCGCCCATACCGACTGTGGTGGCCATATCGTTTGCCTCCGTAGACCGACTTTGCCAGCGTTCGCTGGATTGTAGCACCGGCGGTGGCATGCGATTGCCGAATCAATACCGGCATAGACTCCGCTGCGACGACCGTCTCACTCCCGTTGCTATGGCTCGACGGTTCATGCGGCAACGGTTATTGCGTCGCTTGACCGGGACGTAGCTCGCTGTTAGCGTCCGACATCCGGCGCAAGTCAGTACCTCAGAAAAGATAATCAAAGAGGAGATCGTGATGGCCATTTCCACCACAGTAATCACTCAGGCTACGGCACGTGCGTCAGCCACGCATCCATTGGACCCGCTGACTGCGGACGAGATAGCACAGGCGTCGGCAATTCTGAAGTCTCAACGCCAGCTTGGACAAAGAGTGCGGTTCGAGACCGTCGTGCTGCGAGAACCGGACAAGGACGTTGTGCTCATGTTCCAGCCGGGCGACCCGATACGGCGAGAAGCCTTCCTGGTGGTGCTGGACAACGATGCTGCGGCCACTTAAGAGGCGGTGGTATCCCTCGATGACCGTCGCGTCGTTTCGTGGGAACACATCCCCGGCGTGCAGCCCAGGGTGATGTTCGACGAGTTCGTGGAGTGCGAGGCCGCGGTGCGCGCCGACGCGGGATTCCAGGCGGCCATCAGGAAGCGGGGCATCACGGAACCCAACCTAAACCTAAACCGAAGCCGAGGTGAAATGCGCAGAAGCATATGCCAACGTCCCAACGGTCGTGTTCTCCCAGCCATTGTACGGGCGGGGACCCCATGTGTAATATCAGCCATGCGGGACCGGGATTGGTGGAAGTGGCACCCGGACGGCGGGATTGGAGTCACAATACACGCAGGAGGCCGGGTATGGTCAGCAATTTGGGTCACGTCGGTCTGGTCTGCGACGATTCTTCAAGAGGGACTTCTATACCCGCGTCATCGACTGACGGTAACGATGAGGACCCGGATCGGGGAAGCACGTCTGAGCGCCGACCCTGTAACGAACACCACGAGTTGGCCTTGGGAGAGGCGAGGGGCGATGACCACCCGATGGGACGCCGGCCAAAACCACGGCGTCGGACAAGTTTCATTATTGTCGAAAGCATGGACGCTCTGAAAGACCTGTACCAGCGCTGCTGGCGGAAAACGTCCGTATCGACCAGACGGTAACCCATGGATATCCTGCAGCGTTTACTTTTTCGACCCGGAGGACAATCGGGTCGAGTTGATTACAAGAAACGGATACGTGGTAAGACAGGGGTTCAGCCGTCCTATCGACCTGAGCAACCAGTCCAACGAGGAGATTTGGCTTCTCCAAGTCTTTTGAGGCCACCCAGGGGCCGTCCAAGGTGCCAAACTGCGGTGTCACGGTCCTAGCCCAAACCTGTGCCGCGCGTGTGTTCAAACAGAAAGGACGTGAGCAGTGCCTTACGCCAACATTAGACGGAGTCACCTGTATTATGAGGAGTATGGCGCCGGCCCCCACGGTCATGCTGAGCCGGGCGGACGGGTGGACCACAACGGCCTGCGTCCCATGGCTGCCCTGCTGTCGACCATTGCCGTGTCATCATCCACGACCGCCGCAACGGCGGCAAGTACGACGTGGGTGATCGGTGGTGAGCTTTCCGAGCAGCACCTTTGGGCTGCAGGAGATGGCGGCTCTGCTGAAATACCTGGGCGCGTGCCCCGGCTTACGTGGCGGAGGGTCCGCCGGTTCGCGCACTTCCCTGACGGTGGCGGTTCGGCACCCGGAGGTGGTCAAGGGTGTATTTGTCTGGAAGTTCTCCGGCGGCCGAGGAGCGCCGCACTGATGTCCCCCGGCTACTACGGACAGTACATCGAGGCCGCCGAGCGAGGCGGTATGCCCGCCGTGGCCGCTACCGAGTTTTTCGAGCAGCGCATCCGGGACAACGCTGACAACCGGGAACGGATCCTTTCCATGGACCCCGAGGAGTTCTGTTCTGTCATGCGCCGCTGGCGGGACCGGTTCTCCCAACCCAACCCGGTGGGAGACCTAACTGAGGAGCAGCTGGAGTCCATCACATGCCCTGTGCTGGCCTTCGAGGGCAACACGCCGGACGACGTTCACCACAAGTCTGCCGCAGAGAACGTGAAGCGGCTGGTACCCAACGCCGAGCTGCGCCCGTCGGCGTGGACCCACGAGGAGTGGGCGGTCATTGGTCAGCACGACAACACCTTCCCAGGCATCGCCGCCACCAACCGCTACCACATGAAGTCCACTTTCTACGCCGCACAACTGCTGGAGTTCATCGCCAGGGTCGAGGCCCAACAGCCTTCAGCCGTGGCCTGACCGTATCCAGTACAGACCAAAACGGAGGAACAGGATGGGAACCTTCAGACTTTACTCTGGCGATGACGGCCAGTCCCACATTGAGACCATTGACCTGGACCAGACGCCTGATTGGAAGAGCGCCCAGGCGGCCACCACCATCAGCTTCAGTGAAGCCCCGGCCGGTCGCTTCTCCGACTGGCACACGGCGCCACGCCGCCAGTTTGTCGTCATCCTGTCCGGGCAACTGGAGATCGGCCTGGGCGACGGCTCCAAGCACGTCTTCGGCCCCGGCGACGCTCGCCTGGTGGAGGATACCACCGGCCAAGGCCACACAACTGCTACACACGGCGACCAGGCCTGCGTCACCTGCACCATCCCCTTGGCCAACCAGTAACCAACGCTGATCGAGCGGCAGCCCTTAAGTTGGGAAGCCTGTCCGCATGGCATTGGTCGCCACCGCCCGACCTCATTGCTCCGGTTGCCGGGGTGGCAGGAAGGCCGGCTTACGGAATCGCTGCGGTGCCTCGCCGATTGCGCCGGCTTGGTTCGAGGATTGATGGACGCTCCGGAATTGGAACCGGCCAATTTTACGGGCCGCTCCATCGGCGGCTGGACTTGGGCCACCCTCAGCCTGAAGGCGGCCGCTCCTACTATGAGCTCAAGTTCCGTGCCCCGACAACCAGGTCATCGACATCAGAGGAGCGGGCTGGTTCGGCGCCTAAACTGAAGCCAAGGTGAAATCTGCAATTGCAGGGTGCTGCAAGTCGGTTTGGTTGCTGGCCATTAATTCTTCCACTTGTGCTTGCAGCACGGTTCGGCAGCGGCGCTTGACTTCCTCCCGACGGGTGGACAGACGGGCGAAGAAGTCGCCCACTTTCTCCTGCACTGCGGTACGAGTGCCCAGGCAGAGATTGGCGGTCGCCTCCTGGCGCACCCAGCCCCAGATGGCCTCATCGGCGTTGAAGTCTGGGCTGTAGCTGGGCAGGTTAACCAAGCACAGGTTCAAGTCGGGCGTGGCCAAGTAAGCCTGCAGTGCATCGCCACGATGGGCTGGTGAATTGTCCCAAATCACGGTCAGCGGTTCGTAATGCCGCGCCCTCAGTTGTCGCAGGAAGGCGGCCGAGGTGGCGGAGTTGCTGTTGCCCTCCAGTTCCATCACCTCCACCTCGCCAGTCTCCAGACACACCGCCGAGTAGTAGCTGGCCTTCTTGCCCCGGCGCGGACTGGTGGAGTCCACCAGGGCCGGTTCCCCCTTCAGCACCCACTTGCCCCGTGGATCCGCATCTGCCCGAAAGTGGGCCTCGTCAGCGAAGAATATCTAGGGCGTGTTGACATTTCATTATAATGGCCGTATGTCAAACATCAGATTATCACCAGAACAGTGGGCCAGGATTCTCGATTTCTTGCGTGGCCGCACCGGCCTGTACGTTGGCCAGGAAGCGGATTGCCGGCGTTTTGTCGAGGCCGTCTTATGGATTAACCGCTCTGGGGCCCAATGGCGACTGCTGCCAGCCGAATACGGGAACTGGAACAGCGTCTACAAACGATTCGCCCGTTGGACTGACCAAGGCGTCTGGGCACAAATGCATCAACATTGCTGCGACGACGCGGATCTGGAATACCTGATCATCGACAGCACGGTGGTCCGGGCGCACCCTTGCGCGGCGGGAGCTCCCCCAAAAAGGGTGGCCAGGCGGCCCAGGCCCTGGGCCGGAGCCGCGGCGGGTTCAGCACCAAGATTCACGTGAGCGTGGACGGCTTGGGCAACCCCTTGCGATTCATCCTGACCGGCGGGCAACAGCACGACATCACCCAGGCGGAGGAGTTGATCGCCGGTTATGCTGGCGAGCACGTACTGGCCGACCAAGGGTACGATGCCCAGGAGTTTCGCCAGCACATCCTGGAACTGGGTATGATGCCGGTCATTCCGCCCCGCTCGAACCGCAAGGCACCCGCCGACTATGACCGGCATCTGTACCGGGAGCGCCATCTGGTGGAATGCTTCATCAACAAGATCAAGCACTATCGCCGGATATTCTCCCGGTTTGAGAAGCTGGACACCAGATACCTGGGCTTCCTGCACTTCACCGCCGCTCTCATCTGGCTACGGTGAAATGTCAACACAACCTAGACTCCCGTCCGTCGGGCCGCCGCCGTCAGCGCAGCATACTCCGACACAAAGGCTTCCCGCCGTACCGGGTCCGCCTTGACCAACCGCTTCTTGGGCCGTTTCAGCACAAACCCCAACCGATGCAGGTAGTTCAGGCAACTGCTCCGGCACAGCGACAACCCGAACCGTTCCTCTACAAACCGGCGCACCACCTTCCAGTTCCAGTTGGATAGGTCGATGCCGCCTTGCGACGGTGACCCCTGCACCGCCCTCTTCAACTCGGCTTGCTGCTCCTCGTTCAGCGCGGGGGGAACCTCCCGACTACTCAAAAGCCAGCGCCGCCGGACCGCGCTCCGCGAACGCCGTGGCCCATTGGCCAATGGTATGGGCATCCCGTTCCAGCGCATGGGCTACTGCCGCCGCCGTCCAATCTTGCGCCAGCAGCCATAGCGCGTACCACCTTTCCCGCTCCCGGGGCGTCGGCGCCCGGTACATTCGTCGCCGCACCTCAGCCTCGTCCATGCCCCACCGCTCCAGCAGCGCCCCCATCTCCTCCATGCCCACAGCAACCCCCGCTCGGACTTCTCGGTCCTTTCCGGCCCTTCTCAACCGCTCCTATCCTACCCCGAACCCATGGAGGTTTTATTCTGGCTTCGGTTTAGTTGTCGTTAATCACCAACTGCTCCTGTCCTGCCATCCGGCGCCAACGGCCTGGGCGAACACTGGACAGCGATTCTCGAACCACCGGACTCAACGGCAACGGACGAGAACGGCCACAGTATGATCACTGACGGTGTGGCCAGATCCGACGAGCCCAAAGCCACCTTCGCGCGCAAGCCGACCTTCCTCCAGAGGGAGAGATGGAAGGCGATTCAGAAAGCGAGGCGCAATGGGATATCGCTTCGAGCAATCGAACGGGAATTGGGAATCCACAGGGGCACCATCAGGAGATGCCTGGATGCCGAGGGTCCTCCAACGCGACGGTCCCGAGCGGGTCCCACGGCGTCATCATCTGATACCATCGCGGCATAATCGAGTGACATTTACGCTGAACACTTAACCGGACATTTTCCCTGGACTTCGACACCACAGTGGTACGTTTTGCTGTAACTGTTCAGACTTGTGGGGATCTACGGGCCATCAGGCCTCTCACAGAGGGGCAGCCAAGCACGGAATTTGCTTTGTAAGCCGACTCGTCCCCTCAAACGTGAACAGTTACGTTTTGCTGACGCCCTTGACAGGATACGATGACAAAGATCCAAACCATTAGCCCGGACAACAGTGCTCCTTACAAGTTAGACAACGAGGAAACCAACGAGGTCGGTTTGTCTGCTGTTCTGGACTTCATCGCCGGCACCGACGACATGGTCTTGCATCATGCCACCTTTGATTTCGGATCAAAGGTGCTGGCACTCACCTTCCAGGGACTGATCCTTGCCGACTGCGAGAAGGGAGACGATGACTTGGCAGAGATCGACGTTGCCACGTACGGCGATCTGATCGGCGTAGAGGGCACCGGGCACGACCGAGAGATCCGCCTCGTTTCTCGAGATACCGACGATGCGATCTACCGCATGGGCGACTCAGACACGATACGTCGGCTGAAGAGTCTGATCAGCTCGTACCATAACCAGTTTCTGAACAACGGGGACCCGCATCTATGGGACGGGATACAGCAGGAGATATCTGACCCTTTGGTCTCAGAGGAGGATTCACCAAGCGATGAGGGAAAGATTCCCATCGGAGAACGGGTGCGGTTTTGGCAGGAACAAGATAGGCTAAACCAAGCCGTGGTGCCACGCCTTATTGCCCAAGGTGAACTCCTTTCCCAGCATGTTGTCGAGCATGAAAACCTGCCTCGCGTGGTAAGTGACGCCGTCCAATCCGCTCTATCGCGACAGCAGCAACGGTTCAATGAGGAGCTGGAGCGTATTTCGGAGGAGTACGCTGAACAGTTGCGCACTACCACCGAGGACGCAGTGGGCAAGGTCGAGCAAGAGAATGAGAAGACGATCAATCACTTCAAAGGTCTCTTGCGGAAGACTCGTCTGGGTCTGTCAATTGTCGTTGCGATCGGCATTACCCTGGGGGTTATCGCCGTCGTCATAGCCGTGATTTAGAGAGGTCGCATGATGGAGTCGATCAGCCTTTTGACCGATTTGGAGCAGTTGCCCGCTGATCGCAGTTCCAGTCGCTTGTCTCACCAAGAGCAGGTGCGAACACTGCACGAGACGGGTCTGGTCTTCGGGGCTACAGAAGCAACGGCTGCAGTTTCGTTTGCAATGTGGGGCCTTTTCGATGCCGTCAACGTGGACGACGGCCTGGCCAGAGCCTATGCCGAGCAATATAGCGGCTTGGCGACTGAACATTCTCTCTATGAACACTGGCTGGAGGTAACCGAGAGAGGGCCCGACAGTGCGAATGGGTTTTTGAGCGGGCTGAAAGGCAAGGTCGCCGAGTTCGAGATAGTTGATGTCCTGGAAAGCAGTGGGTATTCCAACGTCCACCTGGCCGAGAGTGCAACCCAGCCCGGATGGGATATATCCGCTGTTGACCAAGGCGGGGTGGAGGTCTTCTGGCAGGTCAAGACCGGTGGCATCGAGCGGGCCGGAGAGATTCAAGCGCTGATGCTGGACGACCCTGAGCTACACTTCGCCGTCACCAGCGAGATCTACAGCAGGATTGCCGATAACTCTCCAGAGTTGCTGGGGCAGATGCTCGACATAGGCACCGACTTTGAATTGGTGGCAGGGATCTCCGACGGTATGGACACCCTGGTCAGCAACCTGGGAATTGACGTGCCTGACGGAGTGACTGATATCTTGCCCTACTCAGCGGCGATCATGGCCGGAGTGCGCCTGGTCTACGGAGCGCTGCAAACTGAGCGACAGTTCAGACATATCGACCG